TCCATCATTCTACCTCATCCTAAGCGTCTGAAAGAGATTGAAAAAAATTGCTGTTGAAACAGAAGAATTTGCTTAAGATCACAGGGGCCGGGGGCGCGGGGGGAAGGTTACCCAGCATAGTGAAATTCCTATTTGAACGTACATTTTTCATATTTTAAAATCTCTAAACTTCGAGGGAATGTCTTGAAGCTGTTTTAAAAATTCTGGCAGATTTGCAAGCCGCACGACATGACATGCCCTTTGACTTGCATGTTTTTACTGTCCTACAAATAACATTCTGTTTGGGAAAATATGATTCAGTTGGACTTTCCTAACCTCCTGCGAGTTCTCGGGCTTTTAACGCTAAGGGGGTGCATTCTAAACAGATGTAAAAAGGGTAATCAGGAACATCTTTAGATGGTGAGGTGTTCCCAGCTGACACTTCAAGTGCTTACCCAAAGACAGATGGTGTGATTATTTTTCCATCCTTGGTTTGGAACAGTCCACAGCGTCTCACAGTTGCTTCCGTGTCACGCTTTCTTCTTTGTCGGAGCAGAGGGAAAAGCGTCTGAGGATTGGCTCCATTTCAGCTGGTTTGGATCTGAAACTGGACTTGCCTTAACAGAGTAACAGAGATGGAAGGGATCTTGGAGGCCTTCTAGTCCAACCCCCCTGCTCACGCAGGAAACCCTGTACCATTTCAGACAAATGATTGTCCTTTAAAAACTTCCAGGGTTGGAGCATTCACAACTTTGTAAGAGTCAAGTTGTTCCACTGGTTTGTTGTTCTCCCTGTCAGGAAATTCCTCCTTAGCTCTAGGTTGCTTCTCTCCTTGATGAGTTTCCACCCATTGCTTCTTGTCCTTCCTTCGGGTGCTTTGGAAAATAATAGACTCCCTCTTCTTCGTGGCAGCCTCACAAATATTGGAACACCGCTATCATCCCTTTTAACCTTGTAAGCTGCCCAGAGTTCCCCTGTGGTAAGATGGGTGGCCAATACATTTAACAATTAAATAAAAATAAAAATAAATTATTGATGCCACTCTTCTTGAGGTAGTGTATCTTGTGGGATGAGGGAGACTTTGGAGGCCGCAGGGCAGCTGGGCCTGGACGAGGCTTCCCAGGTTCTCCTCCATCTCTGAGGCACCTTGTGCTCTCCACTTAACAAGCCACGTGTTTGTTTTAATGACCACATGAGTGAGAGCAAGGAGTAGGGTTGTTAAGCAAGACTGTTTCGCTTAATGGCTGTCATGACATGACCATGTCGAGGATGATCTGGTAAAGAGGATTTGCACAGCTTATCTTTGTTCCTTTTGTGCCTTAGAGCAAGGGTCTCCAACCTTGGCAACTTCAGCTCCCAAAATTCCCCAGCCAGCAACTGGCTGAGGAATTCTGGGAGTTGAAGTCCTCCAGGCTTAAAGTTGTCAAGGTTGGAGACCCCTGCCTTAGAGAACCAGACAAAAAAAGATCTAAATCCTAAATAGCTTGTTAGAAAGTCTTGACTGGCACCCAAAGCGCAGTAGTTGTTCCAGTGCCAGGCTGACTAGCTTGCAGCTCTGGAGAGGCTAGTGTGGAAATGATCAGACCAGCTTCAAACTCCTGTGATTACCCAGAGTAGGGTTCTGTAATGCTTAGTAAATCTGGAAAGCTACAACTCAAGGTTTCCACGATGGGTAATCCAGTTGGCTAATTTGCACGGCAGGAAGAGAGTTTGGTAAGTACCTGAGAACTAAAGGTTTTTTTAAAAATGTATTTAAGTAGATTCCCTCCCTCTCCTCACAAAGCAATTATTACATTTCTGCTTCTTTAAGGAGAATGTTTCAATTGTTCAAAAAACATAAATAAGAAAAATAATTGAGGTTATTTTGCTAGTAGATTTGTGACTGACTGTAAGAGAGTCAGAAGATTTTTTTTCAGTAATAAGACAACTTATTTTCGGTGTTCATGTCTTTCAAGCAAATATATTTTTCCCTTGCTCTATTACAGCTTTTTAGATTGAAAGGAATGGGATATACATCCATTCATACATACAGCTTTTCTTCCTTCCTTCCTTTCTTCTTTGGGAATTGCTCATAACTTTCTAAAAATATCTTTCACTGGTATGTGGGTTAGTGTTTAAAAGTCTTACGTTTCAATGCCGAGTTGCTAATTTTGCAAAGGCATGCAATTCCCCCCAACCCCCACCTCCCATTCCTCCTGAATAACCTTACAAAAAGTCTAACCGTTTCTGTTGCTGTCTGAAAAAAAGAAAAAAGAAAAGAAGACATATTTGTCTACTGCATTCCTGACTTGTCTGCAGTCTGGAACCCCTGATTTGGGGAATGCACTTGGAGGAGACTGGAGGACCACATTTATTATATTCTGAGACATCATGTCATTTATCTTCAGCTCGCTGCTTATTTCCCCCTTAGTACGATTCTGGAGGAGGAGAAGCTGCAGCAGGAGGAACGAATAAGGATGGAATCAAGGCGACAAGTCACCGTATCCTGGGATTCCGGAGGGTCCGATGAAGCTCCTCCCAAGGTAGTATTGGAGTGAAGTTTTTTTATCTCATGTCCTTTATCCTCAAAGAGAGTTAAGTGCTTTGTTCTGCTGGGTTGTAAATTCACGGGATCAGCAATGCTGAGTCCACCACGTACAGACCGAAATTCCCTTTTGTTAAAATTCAAGCAACAATCTTTTTTTAAACTCAATAACTACCAATAGAAGAGAATATTTGTAACTCAGGGTTGATCTTAGTGCTCTCTGAGCATGGTTGTTTTCATGAAATGTCTGCAAGGAAACAACCAAGCTCAGAGAGCACCAAGGACCCCCTAAATAATTATTACCCAGCTAAGGTTGATAAACTGGAACAAACAATCCATAACAAATGATGGTCACTGCCTGTAAAGATTTGGTAACTTGGTGTCTTTCTGGCATGTTTTTTATTTGTTGTTGCAAGGAGGTATAGTTCTGCTTGAAAAAAATAATAATAATAGAGTGATTATTTCTGATAGCAGTGTAGTTTTTGTGATGTTGAACCAGGTTGCTAATTATTCTTCTCTACATTCAATTTCTCCTGCCAGGAGGGAATCCAATCTTTAGATTATTTTGCCTTTTCGGGTCTTATTTGTCATCTCATAAATGACCGATAAGAGAGAATTCTTGACGTCCATAAACATATATTGATGGCATCCTAGGGAAAACTTTCAAAATTAGTTCCTTCCATTCTCTACTCCATGCTGGGAGAAATCCTTATTCTGTGAAGAATGAGATTGTTTGCTCTGAGGCTTGGTTTATATCTGCTTTGGTTTTGTCAGCTTTGTCTTTTGAGAGGTGAAGCCCTTGGTGTAGTTGCTCATTGATAATTTGTGTCCCATTTTCTTAATCTTGAAGTGTGTTTGTGTAGGCACTTTTAACTTGGGTCTTAAGAAACAGTGTGTCGTAAGTTTGCTAGGCAAATAGGAGTCCGTGTGGAATCACAGGAATTCATTTCTCATTCTATGCATAATAGAGAATGTGAGATAAAATCCAGAGCAGAGGAAGGGACAGGATGGGGTACGAACTGGGAGGAGAAGGATGCAAGACTGGGAATGGGGGTACAAGCAAGTCAAAAATAGCCTGCTTTCTGACCGAAAATCTTTCAGTTGGCATGCCAGGTTTCTCTGAGTTTGCTTGACACTTGGAAAAGATTTTTCCTACTCTGAATACTATGAAAATTGTATGCTTTTCTGTACATTAATTTTTGAAATACATATCCCCATTTGATATATGTATGTTAATTATATCTTTTACAATTTTTTACAATATATTTACAATTATAGTTTTACTTCATATAACTTGTCAGATAACATGACAAGGAGGGCCTTGTGTCTGCAAGGGCCCAGTAAAAAGAACAACACAAGAACCAAGGATATTGAGTTCCACCCTCATTCCATGTTTAACTAGCTCCCAGATTTTCACCAAGATTTACTAGAAAAATAAGGCTTATTATGGATGAAGAGTAGGCTTTGGCTGAGAGCCGTTGAAAAATTGCTAAGAGAGAGACGTGTGACAAGTGTTAAACTGGCCATTTTCTGTAAAGGCTACTTTGGAATGCTTCAGTTCAATCTCAGCAGAAGTGTTCCACGTTATCATCATCATCCTGAATGTTTCATGCACAATCCTGCTTGGACCAGAATACAGAACCATGGAATTGGACGGGACCTTGTCCAAAGCCTTCCCAAGCAGGGGACCATATGTGGACAGATGGCTGTCCAGTATCTTTTGAAAAACCTCCAGTGACCCACAACTTCTGAAGATAGGCCGTTCCACTGATTGACTGTTCTCATAGTCAAGAAATTCCTCCTTAGTTTTAATCTCTTTGATAAGCTTCCATCCATTACTTCTTGTCCTGCTCTCAGGTGCTTTGGAAAATAAATTGAACCTTTTTTCTCTGTGGCAGCCCCTCAAATATTGGAACTCTGCTATCATGTCTCCCCTGGTACTTCTAGAGTAGCCATGCCCAGTTTCTGTAACTTTTCTTCATATGTTTTAGCCTCCAGTCCCATAATCATCCTGGTTGCTCTTCTCTGTACTCTTTCTAGAGTCTCCACATCTTTTTCGGAGTGTGGTGACCAAAATTGGGTGCAGTATTCCAAGTGTGGTCTTAACCAGCGCAGTATAAAATTCATGTGATCTTGAATGCGCTCCTGATCCCTCTGTTGATGCAGCCTAGGCCTGCATTGGCTTTTTTGACAGCTTCAGCACAATGCCGGCCCACAGTTATGTGATTGTCCGCCAGGACTCCTAGATCTCTCTCACAGATAGTGCTGTTGAACCAGGTGCCACCTATTCCATACTTGTGCAGTTGGAGGTGAGCAAATGGCAATCGAACACAGGGACATTCCTCGTGCCATAAATATGAGGTTTGGATGTAAGGTTAGTTTTTCAGCACTGTCATAACTTCAGATGGTTGCTAAACAGGGCAGTTGTTAAGTGAGGACTCCCTTTGTTTGGCATGCTTACATGTCTTCAGTTCAGCCCTGGCATCTTTAGTTAAAAGGGTTTTAAAACCTTCTGAGAAAAATGTTGTGTTAACTCCTGTGTAGCTGATGTTCAGAATAGACTGCGTTCATACCGTAGGTAAGATTAATTTAACCTCCTGTTAGAAGAAATATCCATCTGGTTCAGTTCCAAGTGGTGAGAAACACAATGGAAACATGGCGGCTGATTGGAAAGATGGTTTACTGATGGACAGGACTACATGGGTTTGAGGTCCTGGGCAGCTGAACACATGGAGTTGAGAGTGAGGGTTATTTATGCCCTCTCTTGGGCCTTGCCCTTGAGCTTCCTGTTCCTGTGCAAGCACATGTACTCTATTGGCTGCTGTCAGACTCCCACGGGGCTATGTGCAAATCCTAGGAGTTTGTCTGAGATAAGTTTGGTTGAACTTTGCTGGGTGATGCAATATCCTTAGGAAATTTTGCAGTGCAGCGAGCCCTGCTGCTAGATAATCCTATTATGTCCTGGAGGGATATGTCTTAAACCCTGGAGCTGGAGGTCTTTTGTCTCGCAGATAGACTGGTCCAATCCTTCTCAATGGGCACCAAAATACCTGCTGGGGGCAGGGAGCTGGGTTTCTGCTTCCTTTAAGATTTTTATTTCTCTTTTAGGGGAAATATTTTATCCTGCCTTTTTAAATATTTCCTAAAATATTTCATTCTTCTAGGAGAGGGGTGGGTAATAACTTTCTTCGCTTTGTAAGAATTAAAATTGGAGCTTTGTCCTGGACGGCATGGATTTGGGACATCCCTCCCTCTTCAAAGGGTTCTTTAATTATTTCAAAAGAATTGGATCAACATTGAGGAAGCTGTGACTGAGTTCTTCTGTAACCTTTTTTTTTTTTTTTTGGTCTAGTCTGATTTTAATAAAATACTATCTTCCTTCCAGGATAAAATAAGTAATGCATTGAAAGGAATGAAATCTTGTTACTGGCTATCTTTGCCAATATCTTTATCAATTTACTCTGGTGCTTTGCAAAAAAAGAAAAAGAAAAGTGGCTTGCATTCTTAATTTACAAACGCAAATAAATGGTGCAAATTATCACAGCAGGCTGCCGTGTCTATCAGCCGGCATTGTTAAAAGGCATTACATGCTGAATTCTTAGAAATAATCAGAGCAGATTTAGTAGTTTTCTTGAGCATAATTACAGCTTCTCAGAAAAGAACGTTACCAAATCCTTTGAAAGCTCTGATTAATGAGCGGTAAGACCTAATTAGCACATAGCAGCTTGCTGGTCTTTTTTGTTTTTTATTTTGTTTTTTTCCTTGAGATTAAGATGAAAAGGAAAGTCTTCCAAAAGATACTTTCTCTCTTCTGCTTTGGATTCTTGGATGACAATTTCATCCGCCCTGAAATTTCCCAGTAAAGTTTAGGATGAGCCAATGGAAAAGCAGATGCTGAATTCAAAGAAGAACCGCTCCTTATCTGTTGCTTCCCAGATTATTCCTGGCCAATTTGGCAATGGGAATGGCGGCCCAAGACACATGCAGAACCCCCAGTAGTGGGGAGGAGGCTGCGCTGGAATCTCTGGAGCCCTCCCAGTGGTCCCCATCTGTGTCGATGTTCCAGCTGTGCCAAAGTCACATCGGGTTTTGACAACTTGATCTTAACAAAAGACTGTTTTCCGGACAGATGTTCCTTGGACTCCATCGTTCAATGCTGGTGGTACTCCCAAAATCTGGAATAAGGCAGTCCTCACTTAATGACTCTTCTCTTAGTGACCGTTCAAAGTTACAGCAGAGCTCCCCCCCCCAAAAAAGATTATTGCCGATGGCTGCACACTTACCCACTTTTATCCATCTTGCAGTCACCACAACCACATTTGGGGTGTTTGACAAGCCAGTTTACCTTTAGTGGCAGTTTGCAGGGTTACACAGTCTTGTGACTGTGATTTATGACTTTTTTGGCTGGTTTCCAGCCTTTGCTCCCAGTTTCCAGCAGAACTATCCATTAAGTAAAATGGATTTGCTTAATGACCACAGTGTTCACTTAACAACCCTTGCATTCACTTAGCAATTGCCCCCAAAATACAAAAGAGAGTGCAGTCACATGGTGACCTACTTAATGAACCCAATGACTTACAACTATAATTTTGGGTTCAAATTATAATTCCGGGTCATAAGTCAAGGCATACTTATAAATAAAAGCCAGTTCCACTACAATATTGTTATTGATGAACATCCAACCATAGTTTTTTTGGGGGGGGGGGTTGCAGAGGCAGGGATTTAATTGCCATATTTATCCAGATTGATCACCAAAGTATGTTTTCTGAACAGATATTTATTTATTTCAGTGCTAAACCAGCATAGCAAGGTGAGGATTCTTTGCTCCCCAAAATTTTATTCCAGTGGACAGAATGGTGTCAGATTCTTACATAGTTCTTTTTTGTTATAGTAAAACATTACTGTATGTAATGTTTTTCCTATTATTGTTACTCCTAAGATTGCCATCGTTAAAGCGATGTAGACATGGGCTTGTCTACAGAGAAATTTCCTGACAGAACAATTAATCAGTGAAAGAGCTTGCAGATGCTCCATCACTGGAGGTTTTGAAGAAGAGCCACTTGTCTGAAATGGTATATATAGGTTGGACTAGAAGACCTCTAAGGTCCCTTCTAACTTTGTCATTCTATGTTCTATTTTCTAGTTCCGGCTTCCGTATTAAAAGTATTTGTGCCTTCTGTAAATTGTAATAATCCAGGAGATGGTTGCGTTGTACAAATTAAGATGGGAAACATAACTGTGTGTTAATGCCATCCTTTTAAAATGTCCCGCTTCGGTAGAAGATTGTGTATTGCTGATCTCTTAATTTCTTTCATTTTCTAGCCCAGCAGACCCGGTTATCCTAGTCCAAGATCAAGTGAAGGATTTTATCCCAGTCCACAGCACATGATACAACCCAATCACTACCAGGTAAAACAATACAGCCCTTCTTCCATGGCTTTAATACTTCACAATCCTAAGTGTTTATAGGAGGAAAGAATCATATTATGTACGTTGGGTTTTTTTTTTTTGATTTATTAATTATATTTGGTTTATAGATATATGATTCAGATGATTAAGGGAGAAGTCAACATAAGTGTGGACTATGAGTAATCATGAAGTACACCCTTCTTTGGGCTGAGGGCGGGAAGAAAAATAGCATTTAATTAATATTAACTTCAATTAATAGGATTTTTTTTCCATCATGTGTTTTAAAATTTTGCTATTCTTTTGCATTGAAAGTCATAATTTTGGCCAAAGCTTGTAGAGATCTGTGAGAGCTCACCCAGTCCTAGGTCCTTTAAGAATCATTTGGGGATAATCAGGGGATTAAAAATGGAGCCCTGTGAAAAGTGTTGAAGGAGCATGTATAGCCCTGAAAAAAGCAGTCTTAAGAGGAATAATATGATAGTTGTTACATGCAGTCCTCAACTTATGACCATATTTGGGATCAAAATTTCTCTTGCAAAGCAAGGTGAATTATTAAAGGAGTCACACCCGATTTTGCAACCTTTTTTTGACATGGTTTTTAAGCATATTGCGGTAGTTGTTAAGTGAAACATGGCAGTCGTTAAGGGAATCCAGCTTCCCCCAACGACCTGGCTTGTCAGAAGCTGGCTGGGGAAGTCACAAAGGGTGATCCCGGGACCCTGGGATTCCATTTAACGGTTAGAACATGCCGGTTGCCAAAGGCTCAAATTTTAATCATATGATGGTGGGGATGCTGAAATAGTTATAAGTATATAAGAACCAGTCATAAGTCACTTTTTCTAGTGCTGTTGCAACTGGTTGTAAGTTGAGAACTACCTGGACATAAGTTAGAGGTCCAGACCTTTCCCCTCAAGTCCAGGTTGAAGGACATGAAATAAGGGATTTTAATACGCCTGTTTTATCCAAAGAATTTGCAACTGCACCTCTTTGGTCATGTGCTAAGTTGCAAATGTCACACAGACTTGAAAGTGATTAAGATTGTGCCTCTTTGTATACCTTTCAGAGTCTTTTAGAAAAAACAACCGTTTTCCTTTTGGTAGAAAGTATTAGCTGAGGATTTCTTACAATTGTTGCACACAAGCACACAAGTCTTGTAACGCGTTGAAAGAATGCCTGTACATTTTAAAGCCAGCCTTTTGTTTTAAAATGCTCTCCTATTAGAAGAAATGATAGAACGTTCTCCAGCTAGTTGGAAACAGCTATTTAGTAGCTTTCTGTTCTACATTTGTAAACTTTTCAGATTATATTCTGGAAGTTGAAATCCACAGGTCTTAAAGTATCCAAGGTTGGATACCGCTGACTTAGATCAATTAATATTAATTGATCTAAGTCAGCAGTGTCCAACCTTTTAAGACTTGTGGACTTCCACTCCCAGAATTCTCCAGCATGGCTGGCTGTTTAGCTGAAAAATTTTGGGAGTTGGTCTTAAAGTTGCCAGAGTGGGATACCCCTGATCTTTGTGAACACCATGTGCTTGTATATCATCTGTGTATTGAAAGTTTTAATACCATAAGAGTATGAGGTTGAAAGGTCAGAAGCTCTTCAGGAATTCAGGAGTACCATGGCAACCATGGTAGTCCCTGGTGGTCATAATGAATTTAATTTATGTGGAAAGTTGCAGATCGGATCCCAGTTGAAGTTGACTACTTGTGCCAACCTCTGTAAGGAAGATACACCTATTTAGTCAACCTAAGGCCCTAATGAAAAGGAAGGACTCACCGGAGAAGAGCCTAATGCTGGGAAAGATTGAGGGCAATAGAAGAAGGGGATGGCAGAGAAGGAGATGGCTGGATGGCGTCACCGAATCAGTGGGCATGAGCTTAAATGGATTCTAGGGGATGGTAGAGGACAGGAAGGCCCGGAGGAACGTTGTCCATGGGGTCACGACAGTCGGACACAACTTTGTAACTAACAACAACAAGGCACTTGATGATTTCTGAGGGGGCCTGGGGAAGTCCCTACGGTTTTGGTGAGCAGTTGTATTGAAGCTTTGCCTCTTGGAACATAGTGGCTGCCCTAGATAAAATGGAGTGAAATGACAGAAAAGATACCCAGAACTTCACTAATGGAAGACAACCAACTGAAGCTGAGTAAATGTTCATGTTCAAGGCTATCTCATGGCACTGCAGATAGTCTTCACTAAATAATTGCCCTGTTAAGGACCATTTGAAGTCACGATGTGCTGAACAAAATACCTTTACGACTTCTCATCCAAGAAACTCCTTCAGTACTAGTTACAACTGAAGAAGCTTCTCGGATGAAAAGTGAAACGTTTTCGAAGAAAAAAACCAGAAAGTCCAGTTGCCTTTTAGAATAAGCACCTTTGGGACAACCATGACCTGAATGACTGAGAATCCCCATAGACATCTTTTGGACTGGCTCTCAAATTTACTACTATTGTAGTATCCCCTCAGTAATTTGATTTCCATTCGCAACTGGCTTTCAACAAGTGAACTCATGGAGATGTCTCATCAAACAACTGTCGTGATTTTCTTAATGACTGCAGGTCATTAAGCGATGTGATAAACCTGGCATGATCCCATGTTTCACTTAATGACCTTGGCAACAGAGTTGCCGTTCTTGGTTGTGGTGGTTGGGTGAGGACTACCTATAAAAAGGAGCAACCTATGAATGTTTCACCACTCTTAATGTTACTACTTTTTTTATATAGTGACTCAAACCCTTTTAGGCAAGGATGGGCTAAAATAGCCTTTGTTGGTGTTCTACGAATAATATTTGGAGTATCTGGTGGAAAAAGTTCCTTACGATCTTGCCTGAGTTGGAAGCCAGCTGGGCTGTTTCTATGGAATTGACTGAGATTTACTTCCTGTGGGGTTATTTAGGATGAGTTTGATCATGTTCAAATGAAGAGGGCTAGCTTTCTGATGATGCTAGGTTTGCGAAAGCCTCTAAGGCAGATGACAGGAAGATGGATCATGCCATGGAAAATGATTTCTTGAGTAAGAAGGTGGTTGCCTCCAGCCTCGGTGGATCTTGGTATGCCTCCTGTCAAGAAACCAACGTGACCCTGTTGACTTGAAGCATTACAATCTAGTTCAGAGAGATCTCCAAACTTGGCAACTTTAAGACTTGTGGACTTCAACTTTAAGAATTCCCCAGCCAGCAAAGCTTGGAGTTGGAGAATTCTGGGAATTGAAATCCACAAGTCTTAAAGTTCCAAGTTTGGGGACCCCTGATCTAGTATTCAACCTTCATTTGGGGGGGGATGGTTATTGAGAAGGTGGTAGGTATGCAAGTACAGCTGGCCAGAAGGAAGTAGATGACCTTGACTCTTTTTAGTCTGGGTTCAAGGTTACACAAGGCAGTTAAAACTATATTGATTATACTTGTGGGTGGCTTCTGGTGGGAGTGAAACTTTCACGATCCTGCTTCCCCCTCTCAGTGACTCTTGAGGTCAATGAGCAAGAGATGTTTATGGGCCAGCACTTGGGAATGGGAGCTACTCTTCTGTAGTAATTGTCCCAACTTAATGGGATGGTTCCAGTTTATAGTGCTGGTGGACAGAGATTGAATCCAATTGCCCTCTATCATGGGGTCTCTCATGGTTTGTTGCTTTCTCCATTCCAATTTAGCAATGATGTAAAACTGCTGGGTGAGGTCACCTTTAGGAGGTTAGGTACCATCACTTTGCCAATGATGTCCAGTTGAACCCCAAGTTGAACAGGGGATGCAACTGAGTTGCTGTTGAAATCCTTGGAAGCTGCCAGTGCCTGGCTAGGATAGGATTCATTCCAGCAAGTAGTTATGGAGTCAGAAGCCATTAGACTGTAAGGATACGTGGTCTCCAGTTATGCTCTACACCAGAGGTGTCAAACTCACATTGTCATGGCATCGTCATGTAATGTATAGAGACTTTTCCCCCCTTTGCTAAACCGGGCGTGACCAGTGCATGATGCATCCAGCCCATGGGCCAGGAGTTTGACAGCCCTGCTCTACACTGAACTGGCTCATACTTTGGAGGTCCTCTTGGACTCACAAGTCTTGCTGTGGCCAAGAGGATCTTTGCAGGATTTCATCTGTTGTTTCAATTATGACCTTTTGGGGAGCAGGGGGCTCTTTTTACTCATCTCCCATTTGGACTACTGCAATACACCGCATCTGGGAATATTCTTGAAAAGCACTGTGAAAACCACAGTAACTGTGTGAGAAGGACCTTGGAGTCCTCGTGGACGGTCAATTAAACATGAGCAAGCAACGTGTGGCAACAGCCAAAAAGGCTACTACGATCCTTGGTTATATAAACAATCCTTAGTAAGGCCACACCTGGAATCCCGCATCCAGTTTTGGTCACCACATTATAAAAAAGGATGTTGAGACTTTGGAAAAAGTACAGAGAAGAGCAACTAAGATGATTAAAAGCCTGGAGACAAAAACATACAAAGAACAGTTGCAGGAATTGGGTATGGCTAGTTTAGAGAAAAGAAGGACTGATAGCAGTATTCTAGTATGTTCCAAGATGTCCATATGAGAAATATGGCATACCTGTGTGTGCTTAAGAGCTCATCTTGATTCTTGGCAACTCCTTGGACCGGCCCCTGAAATTTTCTTGGCAAGGTTTCAAAAGGGATCTCTTATTGCCTGCTTCCTAGGGCTGGCTCAAAGTCACTCAGCACTTCAGATGGAACTACCGTGTTTCTCATATAATAAGGCCGGGTCTTATTTTTTTTTGAGCCCCGAAAAAACGGCTAGGCTGTCTTTTCGGGGGTGACTTAATTCCTTCCCCTTTGCATCTTAAGGCGGGCAGCGACGGCTTGGATGTTGACCTCGGCATTGGTGGGGCACTTTGTATCAGGGTCAACGCAGGCAGCACCATATCTGGGTGTGCAACAAAAATACTTCCTAACAGCAAGCCCCCCCCCTGCCATTTCCCCCCCATTTCGCATGTTTTAATATAGGCCTTAATTTGGGGGGAGGGGCTTAATTTCATTTCATGCCTATAAAACATGCTGGGACTTCCTATTGGGGGAGGCCGTATTGTTGGAGAAACAGGGTAGAACTCCCAGTCTCCTGGTGATTGGCCCAAAGCCACCCAGCCAGCTTTCATGCCTACGCCAGGACTAGAACTCAGTCTCCTGGTCACCAGACTATAAAAAAAGATGCTGAGACTCTAGAAAGAGTGCAGAAAAAAGCAACCAGGATGATTAGGGGACTGGAGACTAAAACATATGAAGAATGGTTGCAGGATTTGGGCTTGGCTAGTCTGGTGAAGAGAAGGACCAGGGGGGACATGATAGCAGTCTTCCAATATGTGAGGGGCTGCCACAGAGAGGAGGAGGGGGGGGGGGTCAAGCTATTTTCCAAAGCACCTGAAGGCCAAACAAGGAACAATGGATGGAAACTGATCAAGGAGAGATTCAACCTGGAAATAAGGAAAAATTTTCTGACAGCGAGGAGAATTAACCAGTGGAACAGCTTTACTTCAGAAGTTGTAGGTGCTTCCACTGAAGGCTTTTAAGAAAAGTCTGAATAGTCACTAGTCTGAAATGGCATTAGGGTTTCCTGCTTGAGCAAGGGCTTGGACTAGAAGCCTCCCAAGATCCCTTCCTGCTCTTCTGATTCTATTCTTAGAAGCTATAGCTAGTGTAGGATACCACAGTTAGATACTAGCATGCCTCGGGTTGTTGGTTGTCACCTTTAAAAACCCTTCCTTTCTCAAGACTTCGATAACTACAGAAGTTTTGTTCCCAGGAGTTTCTGCCTTCCAATTAAATCAGAAAAAAGTGGGCTGCCTCTGGGTTCCCTTCTCTTAAGAATGTCATTGAAGACAAGCCTTCTTCATCTTTGTCCCCTTTCTCTTGAAACAGCATCCTCAGGGAAGCTGGGTACAATCTCAACACACTTGGGATTCAGGAAGCCAAGCTGTTCTTTGGCTGTTTTAATCTTGTCTATGAATGGTAGGATTGTAAGCCATTCAGAGTTGGTTGAAATTTGGAGCAGCAGTTAAGCTTAATAAAATAAAATAAAAAATAAATCCAATCATTTCTCCCTCCCCCACCAGGAAATAAATGTTTGGTTAACACCAGGCTAAGTATTGGGTGCGTGATTAGATACATACATCACGTTTTGATTGCAAGCAACAATGCCCATTATTCCCCCCCCCCCCGATTATTTTTCCGTACCTCTCCTGCCACTGCCTCTATTTATAAATTCCTACAGCATGGGGAGTTCTGATGGAAGACTTCACAACGTCCTGAAGCATTTGTCTGTATCTTTTGGTAGGTTTCAGGCTATCCCGGTTCCCATGGAATTCCAACCCTGGCAGGTAGCATTTATCAAGGACAAGCCTCTCTTTTGGATCAGACAGATTCCTGGAACCATCGGTCTCAAGAAATATCCATGTGGCAACCCAACATGGAGGTAATTTCCACCCAGTTATTTCACAGACCATTTTCCCCCCTCCCTCTTTTTGATGTATCTCTGTGCTGATGCATTTATTATATTCCTTAAATATCATGGGGGAATTGAAGGGCCACCTAGATTTGTCAGTTAACCTTTCTGATAAAGTTGAGGTGGGTCTGCTCATGGATATTTCCTGTGAACTCATGTGGACTGTCAAATTAGCCCATACCAAAGAGCTATTTAGGAATAATTTAACTACCAAGGGAACAGCGTGCCCTCAGACGTTGTAGGTGCTCCCATGACTGGTGGCTTTCAAGAAGAGACTGGATAGCCACTTGTCAGAAATGGTATAGGGTCTCCTGCTTCAGCAGGGGGGATTGGACTAGAAGACCTCCAAGGTCCATTCCAACTCTCTTATTCTGCTATTCCCGTGGCTCTTTATTCATCCACTTCAAATTTCGAGACAGTGTTGAGGTTTCATGACTTCCATGGCAAGTGTGGCGGTGGTGGTATTCAGGCCGGTTCAGCTCTGACGATCTATTCTGACCTTTATTTCCTGGTTTTCAAGCTCAGCTGATTCGCGCGGCACAGTGGATTGCCATGCGTCAGCTGTTAAACACACAGGGAAGAGTGCAGGATTGCAGAAGGTCAGTAGCAAACCCTCTGCACACGCGCGCAAAGTGCACACTCACCGAACCAGTTGTTACACCGGTTGAATCACACTCCTGAAGTGTGGGTATGTCATTATTGATATTTGTTGCCTCATTTGGCAGGATACAGCTTTAGTTTATTTCTGTTATGTAGATTATTGTGGTCTAGCTAGGAGGAAATTTTTACAGTTCTGCTAGAATTGGTGTGGCTTACATCTTTTGCAAGACCAGTGAAGTTGCCCTTCTCCCAAATGTTTGATGCTCTGAATTCAGTTAGCACTTAACGATTGATGTGTCTACTTGACATTCAAAGACTGGATCTACCCACTGCACAGAACCCAAAACATTTTGGAAATAATATTGGTGGCAGTGAAATGGGTGGAATCATGTCGATGGAAAATTTGGAATTAGCATGATTGAACAGAAGCTAGAATTCACTAGAAGCTTTACTGTAGCAGTGATGTAAGTCTATAAGTTGGCAGAGATGGGCAGCTATGGCCCTTCGACGACCTGTGGACTGTACACGTCTGGCTCAGGAATTACAGGTCATAAAAGGGGCCATAGTGGCCCATCCTCGCTCTGAAGGCATGGAGGCAACACTTGGACAAGTGAGATTCATCACAAAGTGTGTCAGACCTTTGCGTGGATTATAAAAGCAGGTGATGGATGGCTGATTGGGTAGCCAGCAGCTTTGATTCCACCACGTAGTGGGCAACGATAAGACGTTCGTTCAACTACCTTCCCTGTTGGATTGTTTCTGCATACTTTCTAATGTATTTTGAAACTTCAGCTGTTCTGGATATGTATTATTGACTTGGGATCAGTGTGTGACTCTTTTGTCATAATGATTTCTTCAACTCTTGGACCATTCCTGGATGCAGTTGGTTATGCTTTGTATACAGCATTGCAGAAATTGGGGTGAAGCCACTTCAAACCAGGGTGGATAAAAATCAACGTTGTTTTTTTTAAATAAATAAAAAGAATGGATTTTTAAAATTTAAATCGGATTTTTTTTTAAATCAAATTTATTTTAGTAAAATGCTTTTGGAATAAAAATCTCTCTAAAGATAGTTTACTATTTAAGATACATTAATAATTTAGTTTATTCAGCATGAAATGGAGCTTAGTTATGTAGCAGGAGGCTGTATATTCTGCAATATTTACATTTTTGGTAGACTCATTCAATGACCCAAGCTCTGCAAGTTGGGATAACATGCATTGCATTAGTGCATTCATACAATTTTACAGCAGAGATGATGGCTGCTCTTTAAAAATTATGATGTAGATCGAGTTGTTTTAAATCAAGCCTTTTTACTAGTGATTTAAATTGTGATTTAAATCAATTTGATTTAAATCAAATCCACCCTGTTTCAAACAATATTATCTCAAGCAGATTTTTGTGGTTGTTAAGGTCCTTTCTATTTATCTGTCACTGTTGCTATTGTTTTCCCAGTAGGGTAAGAACCTCATTCAAGCACTGATTAGCATTTAAAGATATTTCTTGGGGACAGAAAGTTTAGTTGGGTGGCTGTTGTTACTTCTTTTCTTGTGCTTTTTGCAAGTGTCAAAGTAGAAAGAAAGAAACCCAACTCTGCATTTAAGTTGGCTATCCCCTACACAGGTCTTAAAACATAATTAAAACCAGCTAGGGCTTAAAAGGAATCTGTATTTTATTGTTTGCTTCCCCAAATGCCATTTTCAGCCGAGAGATATAATAAGAAAAATATTTGAAAGAAAACTATTACAGATGTTTCTCAAAGTGAGTAAGATGGACATCCATTTTAGCATACCGTTTGTATGCCTTTCTGGCGGCTTCTTTTCTGCAGGGTAAAGACTCACATGGAGGTTTGCGTGCGTGCATACATGCACACTCACGTAGGCAAGAAAGAAAGAAAGAGAGAGAGAGAGAGAGAGAGAGAGAGAGAGAAAGAAAGAAAGACAAAAGTTACTTCTTATGCATTTTTCACCCGTTTCTACTCTAAATTCAGAGTTGCTCCTTGTTTTCCATAATTTGTCACAGCATGTAGTAAACACATATCACAACAAACAGGCATTACAGAATACTTACATACATGGATGCTTCAAATATGAAGTCTGTGATGATCGGCAGAAAGCATTTGAAATGTTTGCTGATCATCCATGATCTATGTGGAAATTCTTCCTTGCTGTGAAAGAAGGTTTTTTTGGGGTGCCACAAAAACTTCAGTAAAGTAAATAGATGTATATGTTGGTGTGGATTGTGTGAAGCTAGCTTCACAACTTCATGACCTTGAGATGCATCAATGCTAGAGCTCTCAATAATTAGTCATACTGTCTAGCAATTTTGGAAATCGTTGTCAAGATATCAAGGGGTGCCAGTCCTGGGAACACTGGATTATAATGCCAAGCATTGACTTAATTGCTACCTGAGTCATCTGTGGTTTTCCTAATACAAAGAAGTCCACTATTAGGTGAAATCTCCAACCATTCTTTACCTTAAAAGTCTGTGTTTTTAATGTATGCCTCTTTGTGAAGCATATTTTCTGTGTGATGAACCTTTTCTGTTACCCAAACTTGCTTTTAAATCCTTGCATTAATTATTGAAGTTACTACTGAACTAGGTTAGCAAAGTTTTGGTTTCATGGCGGTATTTAATTTTAATCTATAAAAGCTATTATCGCTTTATACTGCACTGGTAGAAAGATCACACTTGGAATACCGTGTCCGGTTTTGGTCGCCATGATATAAAAAAAGATACTGAGATTCTGGAAAGAGTGCAGAGAAGAGCAACCAAGATGATCAGGGGACTGGAGGCTAAAACATATGAAGAAGGGTTGCAGGAATTGAGGATGTCTAATCTAATAAGGAGGTCTAGGGGGTTTCATGATAGTAGTTTCCCAATATTTGAGGGACGGTCACAGAGAAGAAGTGGTGGGTGTTTCATCACAGGAGGTTTTTAAGAAGAGACCGGAATGGTTATAGGGCCCTGGTGGTGAACCTGTGGCATGCGTGCCATCGCCAGCTGCTCTCTGGTTTCTGGCACGCCAGCCAGCTGGTCTTTGTGGGCACCGGAGCACCTGAAAATGGCCCTAGAGTGGCCAAAAAACAATCCGTTTTTTCAGGCTGTTTTCTGGCTGTTTTCCAGGCCATTTTCCGAGCCGTTTTCTGGGCTGTTTTCCAGGCTCCTTTTCGACTGTTTTCAGGCTATTTTCCAGCCAGGCCATTTTCTGGGCTGTTTTCAGACTGTTTTCAGGCTATTTTCCGGCCATTTTCAGGCTGCTTTCTGGGCTGTTTTCAGGCTATTTTCTGGGTATTTTCCAGCCATTTCCAGGCCGTTTTCTGGGCTGTTTTCAGACTGTTTTCAGGCTATTTTCCAAGCCATTTTCAGGCTGCTTTCTGGGCAGTTTTCCGGCTGTTTTCCAGGCTGTTTTCAGACTGTTTTCCAGGCCATTTTCTGAGCCATTTTCCAAGTTGTTTTCAGGCCATTTTCCAGATATTTTTTGGGTCATTATCAGGCCATTTTCCGGGCCATTTTCAGACTGTTTTTGGCCTGAAAACAACCCCCAAAATGCCCTCAAAACAGGCATGTGTGTACCAGCCAGCTGGTCTTCAGGTTTCTGGTGCTCCGGTACATGCGCATGCACGCACGTTCCAGTTTGGGCACTCGGTACCGAAAAGGTTAGCCATCACTGGTATAGGGTCTCTTGCTTTGAGCAGGGGGTTGGACTAGAAGACCTCCAAGGTCCCTTCCAACTCTTCTTCTGTATTCTCTTATAGCCAAAACTAAATATATTAGGTCATTTGTACTACGTATATTGTTTCCCGTCATTTTTCTTTAGCCCAGAAAACCAGGGTGCAGTATATTCTCGCTTTAAAAAGAAAAGCAGGCTCTGTGTTGATGGCAATAACATTAAAATAAAAATGATTGAAAGTTAGCCTTTTAGCTTGTGTCTTTTCTGTTCACCTGCCCTGCTTCGTAGGATTCTGGCAGTTTGGATATGCGTGGGATGGGACAGGTCCTACCAGCACATCTAATGGAAGAGAGATTGATACGACAGCAACAAGAAATGGAGGAAGACCAGAGGTGGCTGGAAAAGGAGGAGAGATTTCTGGTAATACTTTTTTCTTTTTTGTTTCCTTGTTGCAATTACAACAAGCTCTTTCCCTCTCAATGCATATATATATATATATATATGCTATCTGCCAAAGTATAAGTGAGTCACGCTTCTCTTTCTTTATATATCTGATAAGAAATCAGTTCTTATTTCCATTAAATGCTTGCTAACTTTCCCACCAGCACAGCCTTTTAAAGTATTCCCTTCAGATATTTATTTTTGTCCCCTTTATTTATTTTTCACATTTCTGAACCATCCATCTCCCTCCAGCTCTGTTATCAGCTGCAGAGGCCTTCAGGAAAGCCTTGCCTGCCACAGAAGAAGAAGTTCCTGAAGGCCTCTGACAGCGAAAGCGCAAGTGAGGTTAGTCAGTGGATGACATCCCCCGAAAATAAGACCCGGTGCCTTTTTTTGGTGGAAAAAAAAATAAGACAGGGTCTTATTTTCAGGAAAACACGGTAGAAGTCCACCTCAATCTTCGTTGCACATGTGACTGACGGTGAGACGGTTATAACTTTAAGGATGGGTCATAAGGCACTTTTGTCAATCCTGTCACAACTTCAGACTGTCTTTAAAAGTTGAGCAGTAACATTTACAAAGCTTTACATCACTCTCTGAGGGATTACAACATCAGCATATTTCCCCCAACAAGCTGGGTCCTTATTTTACCAATTTCGGAATGATGGGAGTACCTGGATATAGAGACACTTGATCAAGAAGATGCCTTCTTTAAGTCAAGAGGCTTATTTGGTTATTTTGTGGCTCCCTCAAAACATGAGCAAGCTTAGAGCTTGGGTAACTCTATATTTTCTGAGGCTGAGTTTTAGGCTGGGATTAGCACTATCCAAACCAACAAACTCTTCACAGACTGAATAATACATCTGCAGCGGTATGATTTCCTTCTTCTTCTTTTTTTTAAAAAAATTACACTGTAAGCTATAATGTAAAATTTCAGCTGCGATCTCTTTATCTTTCCCTGTAGCTAATGTCTTTGAATAATTAATCTTTTTCAAAGTAAAGCATTGCTATCTAGTCTACAAAACAGCTGGACATGAAGAATTTGTTTTCATGAAGCTTGCTTGCACACTTCCTTTAAGGCTACCAAATAAGGAAAAAACAATGTTGTTCCCAAGGGCGGGGAAATAAGCAGCTGCAACTATTCTTGATGGAATTATTCTGAACTATCTATTGACAGTCTCTTCCCTTCGAATGAAGATGGAACAGGCACCCCACTCCCAATTGGTGTGTGAGCTTTTGACGTAACTGCTCTAAAGGGGAAATAAAGGGAATTGTTTGCTCAGTACTTAATGCACATGTACATACATATTCACATCAATTTTTTTTTTATATCCAGAAAGTTCATTCCAGTTGTTCTAATCTGTTGTTGTGCCACTGGGGTTCAAATTGTGCAAAAACAGTGAAAAGGGTATTTGCCAGTTCTTTGAACAACTTCATGTAAAATTCCATTTTAAAACTGGGTAGGAATATTTTTGGGGGAGAAACAGATTTTATTCCAAAAGTTCAACATATTATTGCCTATAAAAGTAAAGGCAGCGCCAGTAAATTTCCCAACGGGTTTTCATGAAATTATTTTTTAAGCACTTTTTTCCTAGTTTACTTCCCGGGAAGTGAAGTGACAATATTTTTTTACTCTTTTATATACAATACATTGGTTGCCATCCTACTGAACTACATTGGTTCTCCGTTTCCCCCCCCCCCCCCAGCTGTGACTTGTTTTGAAAAGTTCCCCCCTCATCTGAGTCTTAGCTCTCCGAGACCTCAGCTGTCTGCACCTGCTGCCGGAGAACCAAAACACATGCCCCAATCATCATCCATCCCAACTTGAGACGTCCCCTCAACCGCTCCTCAGCCAGGTGCAGAAATAACATGACCTTGACTTAGAAGAAGAATGCTATTATGTCTAACCACATACGCTGCAAGAAATTCTCCCCTCCCATTTTCCCAGGCTCAAGAAGGTGGCAGTGGGAAAGCGTCTAGTGCTAATATGGCTTCCAAAGCTGACAGGCTTCCTGTCCCCCCTTGAAAAAAAATCACATCCTGAAAAATACAATAAACAAAACACAACAAGGGGTTAGCACATTTGCATCAAGCCACTTAACCCCCTCTTCCCCCTTCAAGGGGACCCTGGAGCACTCTGGTGCTAATATGGGTTCCAAAGCTGACAGTCATAAGTGTGACAAATGGCCATAAGTTCCTTTTTTCAGTGCTGTTGTAACATCGAACAGTCACTAAATGAACTTTGTAAGTCAAGGACTGTGGTTATTTTTAATCTCTTATAACCTCTTATAACCTCAGTTGGCTGTTTTAACTTCAATTGGTTGTTTTTGTGATTGGCCAGGGTGCATTCACCCTTACTTACATAATCAAATTGAACAGAGGTAGTCTTCGGTCCTCCCCTTTATGGCCGTAAATCATGATGGTCGTACAGCAGGTCATTCAACCCGACTGTCCTGATTTTATGATCTTCTTTCCAGTGGCCATTAAACAAACATTAAGGGAACGATTGCTGTCGTTAAGCAAACCATTGGTTTGCTACGGGGCTGGTTTTGCTGAAAACTGGAAGCCACTCCTGGTCTTTGTGGCTCAGAACACAGCTGCAGGACACAGCAAACAACTGTAATTGTACCCTGGTTGTCAGGTGCTGGGGGGATAGTCATGGGACCCGGGGGGGGGAGGGGAGGGAAGGGATGGGGACAACTTTCAACCCGCAAACCCATCAGAACCTTAGTCACTAAGCAACTGGTCGTAAGTTGAGGACTATCTGTGTTACAGAGGCAAGATAGCAGCCAGAGTGTTTCATGGCTGCTCCTGGGGTCCCTGTGTGTAGACTTTAATAGGATATGCACATTTTTCTGACAACTGTACACATTCATGCCAGCACAGGAGTCATGGTGGCACAGTGGTTGACTCAGCCTTCTATCCTTCTGAGGTCGGTAAAATGAGGACCTAGATTGTTGGGGGGGGTGAGATGCTGACTCTGTAAACCATGTAGAAAGGGCTGTAAAGCACTGTGAAGGGGTATATAAGTCTAAGGGCTATTGCTATTGTGCACTCAATGCTCTCAGCACGCTGGGCTATGCTGTTCGGAAGAAAGTTTTCCCCGAAGGAAAATAATGTTAACATCGGTGGCACTTCAAGCAGAGTCATTTGGGGCTCCTGCTGCTGCTCATCGCATTGGTGTCCTGCCAATGCTGGGGTTGATTTCCCTCTTAAACAGTAGAAGCAAGAAATGTTTCCCCAGCAGCAGCCAAAACCAGAAAGGAACATTTTAAAAGCCTGAAGATGCTCAGCGTATTTCCTTAAATCTTAATTTCCATTCTCTCCTCATGGAGAGGAGGGGGAAGAAGGCATTGACTTAAGTCAGCACATAAATAGAAATATTGAGTTCGTTTCAGGCTGCAAAGGAAGTTAGAGACGATTTGGGGGCAGGGTGTATTTTCTCCTATTGGTTGCATGGTGTTTTTTGTTTTTTTTTAAACCTGGTACAGGTCAACCTTCATTGGAGTGTATCTTACTTCCAAAATATATATTTCTTATTTTCAATTCTATAAAATACAAAGAAGAGAAGAAAAAGTTAGGAAATTAAGGGAAGGAAAGGGAGTGGGAAAAAGGGTGTGTAGATGCCAAGGGAAAGAGAAAAAAGAAAGAAAAGGGTGCATTGACTTCCAACTCCTCTTAGTACATAAACACAGTCCAGCCTACACGGTTTCCTTTTAGACATTAATACCTAACTAGCCATTCCTATCTAACAAATCTTTCTAATCCACAAAACGTTGGTACTGATCACCATTGCCAAGATCATAGTTTTATATCAGGGTCTGAAGAGTTTCCTTGGATTCTGTCTATGAGCGTTTGTCAACTTCAAGCAACTTTAAGCACGGATAGTCCTCGACTTACGACCACAATTGAGCCCCAAATTTTTTAAGCCAGACAGTGAAGTGAGCTTTCCTCCATTTTACGACCTTTCTTGCCTCAATCGTTAAGTGAATCATTGCAGTGGATAAGTGAGTAACTCGGTTGTTAAATGAATCCGGCTTCCCCAGTTTGACTTTGTTTATCAGAAGATCGCAAAAGGGGATCGCGTGACCCCAGGGAACCTGCCGCAGTTATAAGTATGAACCAGTTGCCAGTTGTCTTGAGTTTCGACCGCGTGATCATGGGAATGCTGCAAAGGTCATAACTCTGAAAAACAGCCATAAGTCCCTTTTTTTCAGTGCCGTTGTAACTTTGAACGGCCACTAAACGAACTGTTGTAAGTCGAGGACCACCTGTATGTGGATTTCAACTCCCAGGGAATTGAAGTTCAGGCACCTTAAGAGTTGCCGAGGTCGAGAAACATTGCTTTGCATTAAAGATAGCACAAATGAATTGTCTGTCATCTTATCAGTGGTATGGGTGTTTGTGTGTGTGTGTGTGTGTGTGTGTGTGTGTGTGTGTGTGTGTGACTATCACTGCCCTCGCTATTTCTTTGCAGAGTTGTATTTTCAAACATTCCCACCCACATACGCTTCAGTGCCCATCCCAGATTTACTAAGGAAACATCATCATCAACAAAACGGACGGGTTTTTTTTTCAATGCTAAAGTTGGGTTTTATGATTATTATTTTTTGCTTTAGAATAAAATACTGAGAGCATTTGCACCAAGACAAATTTCTTGTGTGTCCAATCACGCTTGGCCAATAAAATAATTCTAATTCTAAAAAAAGAGAAGTGATTTCCCTCCGTTGTGCATTTTTTCCCACTACGTGAAGGAAAAGCGACATGGAATGCAGTAGAACTGTCCAGTTTTTCTTTGTGGAAAGGGGCGGGTTATTGCTAATTATATCTTGTACGTCCCCAGAGAATTCAGCCAACGAAGGCCTGTGAATAGTTCAGTTTTACGGCGTTTGCACAGAAGTCACTGCTGTTGGAGGTTCTGCTGGTGTGCAGTTGCCTTTGTGTAACAAAGCTTTCTTACCCAACTGGAGACTGCACAC